TTTGGAGAAGACTACAGGCATTAGTTTTCCGATACAAAGGCGAGTAGCCCTTCCCTTCTAATCACTCTAGAGTAGAATTTACCTCTGTAATTTGTTATATTACAAATGGGAAAGTATCACTGAATGCATTTATCTGTTGCTCCAGTTTTTGAAAGTTCTCCATGTTCCCAAACTGTGTGAATACTCGTGCACGCACACGTCCTCCCAGCCACCGGCTGTGTCTGCTGCCCTTTAGCCGACTCTGCAGCGTCTCCCCACACGGCTGCCACTTCCCTGCTCCATCCTCTCTGGAAGCCCTGCCCGTTAGGCTTTTCTCCACCTGTCTACTTGAGGTGCTGTTGTCAAGGTCCCTGCCGCCACATCCAGGGACCGCTGTCAGCTTCAGGTGTCTGCCTCTTGGCCATATTTAACAGTCGGTCCTGCCTTCCTTCTTGACCACTTTCCTTGACTTCCAGGATGTCACTCTTCCTACCTTACCTGCTGTGGCTTCCTAGTTTCCTCTGCAGAACCCTCTCCCTTTCCTTCTCTGTGACAGTGACTCTAACTCCGGGCTCAGGCCTCACACTGGTTTTCTCCCCATATATACAGTGGCCCAGGGGAGCTCACTAGTCCTTTGTTTTTCTCTCGGACCTTCCAGAAGATCTGTAAGCGAGTTGAAAGTGTCCCTCCATGGGGCCCCTTCATTCTTTTCATGTGGGCTGTTCAGTGTGTTGCATCGTGGTTGTACCTTTGCAGTTTTGTCCCTGTTGGCTCATAGTCCCCGGGGGGTATGGCTCTTCCGGCAATGTGCGCCTGATGGGAGGGGCTAGAGCAAAGCCCAGGGCCTACCTTGTGCCCCACCTGATGAGTTTGGACCACAGGGAGAACTCACCGCTTGGATATACTTTGCCCCTCCTCCCACCGAGTGGTCCTGCCCCTCAGGACACCCCCTTACCTCTGCCAGGGTCCATTCTCTTCCATTGCCCATCTTCTCTGGTAGTCACCCAACCTCAGCATGTGGGGGGCAAGTAAGTGAAGAGACAGCTTTTGGGGCCAGCGAGGCCTCCTGGGCCTATTCCTGTCTGCTTCCCCCTAGTCGGGCCTCTGCCCTGACGGCTGGCACTGGGCTCACAGTGTGTGTGGGGAGAATAGGCACAGCCAGAAGGTCTTCTTGGTCCGCCTGTCGCACTTCCCCACCTTCTTCACTGGACTGGACCAGCCGGGCCCATCTTCCAGGTCCGCACGCGTTCACTCGTGTCAGCCCATCAGCCTGCGCTGCCTCGTCTCCATCGTGGAGATTAACAATAGAACTGTTTGACCTTGGGACAAAATGAGCTCAACACAAATTAAGAAAAAATTTAAATGTCTTAAAAAGGAAAGATATTTGTTCCACAAACATTTAGAAAGAGATTTTAGTTCACTAATAATAAAATAAATGAAATTCAGGATAACAGCTGTATATACCATTAGTAGAACAAAATATCAAAGATTTAAAAAATATGTATACCCCGTGCTGATGGAAAGGATACATTTTCGTATATGACTGGTGGGTATATGGCTTGATTGAGACCTTTTAGAAACTACCTAACTTATCTCTAGAGTTGTAAAATGTTCATTCCCTTGACTCCATAATTCTGTTCCTGGTATTCTAACCCAGAGATTTTCAATCGGTGTGCCCCAAGAATTCTTAAAATGTGAAATACCTGACTATTTAGTCAGGGACACTGACCTCTTTTCCCTTAGATTGTCAAAAAAAAAAAAAAATGACAATGGCCAACACAATAGCCATCCAGTGTGAATGAATTAAATAATACCTATTTTTTTGTCAGATTGACAAAAAATATATATTTTGGTGTGCCACAGAATTTTAGTACTTGGTTTATGTGTGCCATGAGATGAAAAAGGTTGAAAATCGCTGTTCTGACCAAAGGAGAGCTTTAGTGTGAAAAACACCGTTAGTCACAAAGAAATACATTGACATGCTATTTACAATAGTAATAACAACAGTGATAACACGTGAACACAGCCCGACTACCCGACTGCGGGGCATCATTAGATGTGGTCTTCAACACAACAGAATATTTCGAATCTATTAAAATGATCTATTTTATATGAAAGCATGAAAAAATTCTACAACATGATGTTCAGTGAGAAAGGTAAGATAAGCCCTGGCTGGTTTGGTTTAGTGGTTAGAGTATTGGCCTGCAGACCAATGAGTCGTGGGCTCAATTCCAGCCAAGGGCACGTACCTCAGTTGCGGTTTGTCCCCAGCCCTGGTCAGGGTTGTGTGAGAGGCAGCCACTCGATGTGTCCCTCTAACGTCAATGTTTCTCTCTTTCTCCCTCCCACTCTATCTGAAGATAAATAGAAAAATATCCTCCAGTGAGGATAAAAAAAAAAAAAAATTTAAAGAAAAAGGTAAGATAAAACAGTTTACTTAGTATTATGTTTTTAAAAATGTACACATAGTAAAAAGACTAGAAAGAAATTCACTGTAATGTTAGTAGTGCTTTTGTTTGGGAATTTTATTTTCTCTTTTTAATTTCATTAGTTCCGATGTCTTGGATAAATTTTTTATTTTTTTAAAATATGTTTTTTGTTTTTTATCCTCACCCAAGGACATTTTTCCATTTTTTGTTCGGATAGAGTGGGAGGGAGAGAGAGGGGGGAGAGAGAGAGAGAGAGAGAGAGAGAGAGAGGAGAGAGAAACGTTGATGTGAAAGGGACACATCGAGTGGCTGCCACCCACACGACCAACCAGGGCTGGAGACAAACTGCAACCGAAATATGTGCCCTTAGCGGGAACCGAACCCGGGTCTCTCTGGACCGCAGGCCAACACTCTAACCGCTGAGCCAAACCGGCCAGGGCTAAAATATGTTTTTATTGATTTTTTTTTCAGAGAGCGAGAGATAGAAACATCAGTTGGCTGCCTCCTGCACGCCCCCCCCCCCTTCCCCTGGGGATTGAGCCTGAAACCTGGGCATGTGCCCTGACTGGGAATCAAACTGGGACCTCTCAGTCCATAGAAGGACGCTCAGTCCACTGAGCCACACTGGCCAGGCAATTGGAGAAATTTTTAATTTAAAAAAATCACAGAAGCCTGTCTTGGTTTGCTTGATTCAAAATTTGGTTCAGAAATGATAATATAATGATCAAATTTACTAGCATACATAGTTTATAAAAGAGAAATCTTTCCCATGTAGAAGAACTTACTGTTAGTAAGGAAGAGATAACAGAGGGGTAAGGAGCTGTGCTTCCTAAATTAATATGGCAAAAGCTTGAGAGCAAGAACCAGGAGCGGGCTGTGGGTTCAGATCCAGCTCTCACGTGCCGTCTCGGCAGCTCTCCCTGTCATTGGCAGGAAGGCCCAGAGTCCCCTCATTGTTCCCGCCCGTAGGCTGTCGTGAGGGGATGGATGTTGTGCCAACTGAGGTCCCAGAAAAAATAAAATACTTTACTAATTTAGTATGCTGCTTTTGTACACGTTAGTAATTATTTTAATAGACTATCACTTTCAAAACACGTTGATTCTTGAAATGTTTACAGACTGAGCATTTAAAACGAGTGGTGCATATTGATGCACTTTCTTCTGTATTCTTACTTTCAGATTTAAAACCATGAATGGGATTGTAGTATGAATTTCATTACTTTACGATTTAAAACTACACATGTGGGATTGTAACGTGAATTTATAGGCAGAGATAATATACCTCGTCCAAACAAGAAAGGAAAAACACAATTGAGTGTTTTCCTGTCGACTTTTATCACTGTGTGTAATTAGGACCATAAGTCTGAGCTCACCTTCCCGATTGTTCACAGTGCAGGGGCCTCATTTCCTCGGCCACGTCTCACGCGTGGCTCGGCACCAGGGGCTAGGTGACACCCGGGTGCGTGTCTGCTAGACGCACTTTCTGAGAGAGGCGTGCTCGTTCAGTCTTCCTTTTGGGCACCTATATTTAATGAGTCAGTGCTGCGTGCCAGGCACCCTGGTGATACACGCTGATGAGATGTGGGCCTCGCCCTGAAGTTCAGAGTGAAAACAGAGATGTGGGCACCCTCTCTCTGGAACCTTGCTGCTCACAGTGTGGTCTGCAGACCGTCAACCTCGGCATCACCTGGGGCTTGAAAAATGCAGAATCTCGGTCCAGGGTGGATCGACATCTTCATCCAGGATGCACACCAAAATGCCCGCGGGCGATGCCAGTGCCGTCAGCCCTGGGCGAGGTCAAGCTGATTCTGCAGGTAGATCCCCGTCACAGCAGTGGATGATTGAGGATGCACTCTCATTGCCTCTAGGAAGCTGCCTTGAGATCCGTCGTCTAATACAGATAGCACAGAGGTGCCTTGTGTCACCTGTGTAACCTGCGGTGGGGCTCAGCCCTCGGCCTGCATCCCAAGCATCTGGGATAGACAGTGTAAAGGCTAAAGAAAAGCGAGACAGCCAGGAAATTGCCAGGTGGTGAGGGGACCTGGGTAGTTGGAAGGACAAGAGATACCTTCTGGGTACCCTGTGTGCCTAGTGCAGATGCATTAGCAGCTTATCAGTCAACAGTCAGGACGAGCCGGGACCTCTTTAAGGAAGAGGCACCTGGGATCTGTTTTCACTCTTGGGAAGACGGAGTGTGAGACATGGACGAGCCGTGCTGGGGGGTTTGCGGGGCCCAATCACGGGCCCGGGAGGAGTCTGGCTGGAGCAGTGCGCACGCTGTCAGGGTAGACGTGGTAAATGTGGGAGCAGGGAGGCCTGGTCACTCACAGCACGGCAGGAGGAGGAGGGCGCCTGAGCTCTGCCGGGAGGGAAGCCTGCAGGGCCTGAAAGGGCCCAGAGAGGCCATCAGCATGCAGTTCTCCAGCGTGGCTCAGGGTGGCTCGACTTTTGTTTTTTAAAAAGTGTAAGGATGATATTCTCACAGATCTCACGAGGCTTGTCATTGTCATTGAAGATGGTGATAGTTACCTTTGTTTTTGTTATTGTTTGGTTGTTTCTAACTTACCAGTTTCTTCTGTGCATTTTTTTAAGGTCCTTAAAATCCTGGTGAGGGCAGTGAATGATGGGATGACCGACCGCAGCGGCGATGTCGCAGCCGGCCTCAAAGGAAAGCTGCAGGAGTTACTGGGCAGAGTCACGTCGAGAGTGACAAATGACGGGGAGCTCTGGAGGCTGTACGCCGAGGTGTATGGGAACGGGCAGAGCGAGAAGCCTGCGGACAACGAAAAGGCAAGTCCTCCGCTGCTGCTCTGGGGTGGAAATTGTGCAGCAGATCTGCTGTTTGATGGTTGGAGGAAAGTTGAATGGTTTGAAAGATAAGATGAATGTGCTCAAGTTTTCCATTTTGATTCAGTCTTTAATGTAAGCACTTTGAATTGTGGGCAGGTTAAGACTTGTAAGCATTCATCTTTTCTCTGTCCAAGGATGTTTCTTATGCAGTTGTTGTGTCCTGCCAGAGGGTCTCTCCAAGCTGCTTCCCTGCCTACCAGGGCTGCGGCACATGGCTGGCTGTTGTGATGTCCTCTGTGCCTCCGCAGGCTCCTTGCTCAGGACTGAAAGAGGGTTTACCTCTGAGATGGGGACTATGAAAGGGAAAAAGAACAAGGAACAAATAGGAATATGGGAGAAGAGCTTTTAAAGCCTAAACATGGAGTGGTGACAGAGTGGCCCTGGGGGCCCCAGCACACTGCTTACACTCTTGTTGTGCCTTTGGCCTTGTACCTTAGAACTGACAGTGGCCTCCAGACTTTCCGGTTTGGGACAGTTGTGTTCTTTAAAACACACACACACACACACACACACACAACAAATCAGGTGCAGTCCTGCATGTGTTTGGAGTTAGCCACAGCACAGCCAACCTGGGGGATTCCAGCCGTCCTCTCCTCCCTTGGCCCACCCAGCTGGCTTCTCCCAGAGCCTCGTCAGCTGGACACCCGCCCGCGCCCACGCCCGCTTTTTGTCCTTCCATGGCCTCTTGAATCACGTGTTCCCTGGTCTGTATGGAATTCAGGGTACTCTGAATTCTCTGATCTGTGACTTCGCCCTCAAGAATTGTGTTGTAAAAGGAAGTGTCTTAAACACTTGTGAATTGACTCACCGCCCAGTAACTCCATAGCTTCATCAAGGTCTCACTTCATTCTCTTAACTGGTCCCTTAAGCTGATGGCTACAGATGGTAAGGAAATGTGTGCACTTCTTATAAATTTCCAAACTGGGCATGTGTATGTTTCTGTTTGGAGGGAAGTGTCTCCGTCCAGACACACCCATTTGATGTCATTGCTGATGGCTGTTAGGTTGCCTCCGCACCCTTCTCAGACCAGGAGAGAGCCAGGGGTCCCACAGATGCTGGTTTCAAGTTGCAGTTAGTTCCGTATGACTTCCAGGAGCAGTCTGAGGTGTGGATTCCACTTGTTACTCTGAATGTTGTCCTTTTTCTTTCCTCAGGCGTTCCAGTATCTCTCTAAGGCGTACAAGTGCGACATACAGTCCAGTTGTTGGGAGAAAGATACCGCGTTGTTTAAGAAGCTGGTGGGGAGAGTCTTAGAGCTGGCACACGGTACTGGGCGTGGCGCTTGCTGTCCACGCATACTCATGTACTTTACTGATGAGAGAAAAGCAGTAGTCAAAAGTAAAGTTTCATTACATGTAATTTCAGATTATTTTTTTAGATTGAAACTGTTCTATTTAATCAGCAAACATTTATAGACCAGCTACTATGTAGCAGGCACTTTCAAGCAATAAGAAGATAGGATAGAGGCTTAACCACCATTTGAATGAGTGACAGGTATTAGAAACTTCAGAGACTTGCAGTATCTTCACAGCCGTGTTTGACCTTCACGCCTCACACGTCTGTCTGCTTGCGTTGATTATGTAGTGTTGAGGATATCTGTTAACTTCTCCTGACGCATAGTCTTCCTTTATAGATGAAAGTATTTATTCATAAAATATATAGATTTCTGGGACACATAGCAATATACAAAGAGCTGTTAAATATGTAAAAGAAATTTAAAACTATGTAATCAAGTATCTTTGAGAATGTAGTGAGTGATACTTGAGGGGAAGAGTAACCATATGTATAAAATTGTATACCTGTGGGTAAATATATTCCAGGTAAAGGCTGCTTTTAATTATTTGCATTAATGAAAAAATATACTAGCTAAACTTAGTGATGCATTTTTATATTTATATTGGATTATGGGTGTGATGCCCTGGGGTTGCAATTCAAATGAAATAATGAAGCCACAGTGGTAAGAACTGAATCACAAGACTGAACGTCCTCCTCTAAATTCGTCTGTAGCTGTTGGTCATAGCAAACGGGGGGCAGTGAGGGCGCATGGGAGGACAGGGCTCCAGGATCCGGGAGCCCGAGGGCCAGGTCTGCTCTGCCACACACTTGCTGGGTGACTCTGGGCAAATGACTTAATCTCTCTGAGCCTTAGCGCGCTCATTGGAAAAAGGGGGGTAAACCAACCTATGGTAGTTGTGAAGAATAAATGAAAACACAAACATAAATGAAAAATGTGAATTAAAAAAATACTTACCAGTATCTTACACAGGTTTGAATGTGAATCCCCTGCTTTCCTACCCACCTCTGGTTCCTTCTGGTAGCACATCTGAGCTTTATGATGAGGACTCTAAAGAGAGAAAAAGGAGAACAAGGATAAAGTTTAACTTGCCTTGAAAGACATAGTGATATTAAACAAGTTAGAAATGGGCTTAGTAGTTAATAATTCTACTATGGCTTTTGAGATCATTGATAAAAAATGCGTAGCTATCCAGGTTCCTGAGCCACCTACCCCTTGGCAGGTAGGCGGACGTGCTCCACTCTCGTGGCTGGGACGCGGGAAGGCCGGACGTGACTGTGGAGGCGCAAGGAGGTTGGCCGACCTGGCCGGGGTGCAGGCGGCTGTGCTGGCCTCGCGCTGGGTGGGCACAGCTGGAGTCGCGTCCTCATGCCTTCGGCCTTGTGTTTGGGGAAACACACATGAAGCTGTGTTATGTATGTAATCATATCAGGGTGCAGTTGGCTTTGAAGAATTGATCTTCAACCTGCCAACCCTAAGCACTTCTGTGAAAAGCTGGCCGTAAACCGTCAAAGCCAAGGTGTTTTCTGTGTTCACTGAGGGATGGTGGTAACCCTGTCACGTATAAACTTGCAGGTTAGAGGAGTGCTGTAGGGAAAAGGTCTTCATTTTGCATCTTCAAGTTACCTCTTTTCATCAGGGCGGTGCTTGGAGAAAAGCAAGTGTCTGTGCTTTGAAGTCCTCCTTCGACTTGCACCACGGTGTTGGTGCTCCCACCGCACTGAGCACCCGTGGGGGGGACGCGCAGCGCTCGTTCCAGTGACGGTCTGCCTCTGGGGGTGAATCTCATCCTTCCTCTGCTGCTGCTGTGTGCCGGCGCTCGGTGGGGGGCTGGGTCCTGTTACTCTCTCCTCTTGTTTCATCTTTTGCCCTGGCACTGTTCTCCACCTCACCCAGTTCTGAAACGGAAATGTAACGTTGAAAAACTCTCCACATCAGCCCTGGCTCAGTGGTTAGAGCGTCGGCCTGCGGTCCGGAGAGACCCGGGTTCGGTTCCTGCTAAGGGCACGTACCTTGGTTGCAGTTTGTCCCCGGCCCTGGTTGGGTCGTGTGGGTGGCGGCCACTCGATGTGTCCCTTTCACGTCGATGTTTCTCTCTCTCTCTCTCCCTCCCACACTATCTGAACAAAAAATGGAAAAATGTCCTCGGGTGAGGATTAAAAAAAAACTCTCCACATCAGCCCTGGCGGGTTTGGCTCAGCAGTTAGAGCGTCGGCTCGCGGACCAGAGTCCCAGGTTTGGTTCCCGATAAGGGCACGTACCTTGGTTGCAGTTTGTCCCTGGCCCCGGTTGGGGTTGTATGGGTGGCAGCCACTTGATGTGTCTCTCTCACATCGATGTTTCTCACTCTCTCTTCCTCCCTCTCTCTCTCCCGCTCTTTGTGAAGATAAATGCAAAAATGTCCTCGGGTGAGGATAAAAATAATAAATAAATAAGTAAATAAATAAACTCTCCACGTCATGTATTCCCTCCTGGATTGCTAGTTCTTTTTTTTTTATCCTCACCCGAGGATACCTTTCCATCCTTTGTTCAGACAGAGTGGGAGGGAGGGAGGGAGGGAGAGAGAGAGGGAGAGGGAGAGGGAGAGGGAGACATCAACGTGAAAGGGACACATCAAGTGGCTGCCACCCATACAACCCCAACCAAGGCCGGGGACAAACTGCAACCGAGGTACGTGCCCTTAGCGGGAACCGAACCCGGGTCTCTCCGGACCGCAGGCAGGGCTGGATTGCTATTTCTTGAGAAGAGCCGTGTGCTTCGGGAAGCTGGATAAGCTAGTGCAGTCTCTGCACAGTGTGGGAGCCCTTCCTGCGCCTGTGCGGTCACCGCGCGCCTGTCGTCTGTGTGCTGGTCTTCGTCTGTGGCCTTGGCGTTCTGTTTTCTGGGAACGACCAGCAAAAGGTCCGTCCTTCTTTGCCATCCAGAAACTTTTAAAATAACAGTTTTGCATTTTAGCTACAACGTGCCTGGAGGAAACACTGTCCTGGATCTCCTGGTGCTTGGAGTGGCAGGTTCTCGCTCGCTCTAATTTGCTCTGTTTGTCTTTTTATCTGTCTATTGTCTATCTCCATCCCAAATGCCTTTTGGAAATGGGATTGAGGAAGGGGGTTAATAGAGTGTATGTTTGTCTTTTTGCTCTATTTTTTTTTTCTCAGAATGAAAATAAAGGATTGAAAAAAGAATCACAGCTGTTTCTGATGTAAGTTAGGTATTAATCAGCCCAAATACCTCAGCCATGGTAGTTACAACTTTCCTTTGCTGAGGGACACAAACACCCGAATCCTCCCTCTCTGTGGGTTAAGCTTTTTGGACATGTCTTTAACATTGCCGATGACCATGCATCTTTTCACTGCTTAGCTGAGAAATGTCAGAGTCTAGTTATTATTTTGAAGTAGGAATGTCAGACCCAGTTCTCGCCAGCCATGGGAGATACAGTGACGAGTGACAAAACTGTTCGTCAGGTAACTCCACCGACTGAGCAAGGCCACGTGCAAAGAGAAATCTGTTTCCTGCCCTGGGCTAAGAGCTAGGTGCTGAGTGGATTTCAGTTGGTGCATGCCTTAGTGTAAGTGTCGTGTGGTTACTGTTGTGTTTGCAGTGAGCATCATTCAGAGGAACAAAAACAAGAACAGATCAGTGGAGAAATACCGGGCATTATATTTTTACACTCTTTACAAGCTCTTATGCAAAAACAAGCTCTTTGCTTGTTCTTATTAAACTTTAATAGCTGGGCCCTGGCCAGTTTGGCTCAGCGGTTAGAGCGTCGGCCTGTGGTCCGGAGAGACCCGGGTTCAGTTCCCGCTAAGGGCACGTACTTCGGTTGCAGTTTGTCCCCGGCCCTGGTTGGTCGTGCAGGTGGCAGCCACTCGATGTGTCCCTTCACGTCGATGTTTCTCTCTCTCTCTCCCTTCCTCTCTCTCCCTCCCACTCTATCTGTACAAAAAATGAAAAAATATCTTCGGGTGAGGATAAAAAAAAACAAAACGTTAATAGCTGGTCCTCTGCCAGGAAGGGTTACGCCCCCTTCATAATTTCAAGTTTTAGGAAAATGGGCACCCCAGAATGATAGACTTCATTCTCCCCCACTCCTTGCGGAGGCCAGGCGTGGCTCAGGGCCCGAGCCTGACCGTGGTCACGTCCGAAGTGCCAGCTCACAGGTTGTTGGTGTCGGTTCTCCCAGATGGCGATGCAGACACTGGGTGGGGAATGGCAGTAGAAACTGAGCTGTAGATGTCTGCCACGTCACTTCCTCGGGCTGGTGCCATCAGCAAGTGTGGATCCCCATTTGGGACACTGTACCAGAGACCTCACACTGACAGTGCCCATCTGTTTTGTCCTCTGTGGGCACTTTCTGTTCAATTCGATTTGTCTGTTTCTGCCTGATTTCAGTGTGTGTGTGTGTGTGTGTGTGTAGTCTCTTACCAATGATCTGTAACTCACCAAAATTCACCTATTTTTCTCAAAATTCTCTTTTTACTAGTAAGTCATCCTTCTTAAAGAAAGATAAAGGGGAGAATTATGCTCATAATTATTATCCTTTTTCCAAATTAAAAACTTTCCTTGGAGAGATATGTCTAAAGTCTATTGCTATGAAATCTTGATAAGCAGCGGTGGGGTGACCTGTGACCCTCACCGGCAGTCTCTGTGGATGTCCTGTCTCCCCAGTGGCCGTGAGATGCAGCGAAAGCAGATCCAGCCCCCAGGAGGCCGTGCAGGCGCTTTCTTCAGCTCGACTGAACTTGCGTGGCTTGTCCTCCAAAGCAAAGGTACTGGGGCCGGGAGTTGCCTAGAAGTGCCAGATGGAAAACGGTCTTTTGTATCAGCCAAGTGCTCTTAAATCTTTCACGTCAGGGCTCACTTAGGTCCACATTGCATTTTTGATATTAGCCCCCATGCAGTTATGGGCACTGGTGAGGATGGGCCCAGGGTGGACCACCCTGAGTGTGGGTGAGCCAGGACTCTTAGGGTCTGCTCACAGCAGCCCTGCACGTCCTCTCTGCGCTCGAGGAGAACAGCTCTCTCTGCTTCTTACACGCTCAGCCTGCGGCACATCGGCCACTGTGGGCGCCCTGGGTGGAACCAGCACATCAGACTTACAGCTTCACGAATATTTTTGCTTATTTCTCATTTACAGTAATGCAGAAATGTTTCCTTTAAAAAAGACTTATATGCGCCCTGGCCGGTTTGGCTCAGTGGTTAGAACGTTGGCCTGCGGTCCAGAGAGACCTGGGTTCGGTTCCCGCTAAGGGCATGTACCTCGGTTGCAGTTTGTCTCCAGCCCTGGTTGGTCATGCGGGTGGTGACCACTCGATGTGTCCCTTTCATGTCGATGTTTCTCTCTCTCTCTCTCCCTCCCACTCTATCTGAACAAAAAACTGGAAAAATGTCCTCGGGTGAGGATAAAAAAATAAAATAAAAAAGACTTATGCGATGAAAACTGATTTAGAGAAAAAATAGTGAGTAGTTTGTATGTGGATTTGACAGGAAATGTTAAGGTCGATGGGCGACTCAGGTTGGACACAGAAAACGCATACCTTCAGCTCACACATGCAGCCCGCAGACCCGCGCTGCCAGCCTCCGGGCTCAGCAGGCCTGGGCGCCCGGGCAGAGCGGCAGTGGGCCTCGGGCGGCTCCGCTGGAGGGCTCAGCGGGCTGGGCGCCCGGGCAGAGCGGCAGTGGGCCTCGGGCGGCTCCGCTGGAGGGCTCAGCGGGCTGGGCGCCCGGGCAGAGCGGCAGTGGGCCTCGGGCGGCTCCGCTGGAGGGCTCAGCGGGCTGGGCGCCCGGGCAGAGCGGCAGTGGGCCTCGGGCGGCTCCGCTGGAGGGCTCAGCAGGCCTGGGCGCCCGGGCAGAGTGGCAGTGGGCCTCGGGCGGCTCCGCTGGAGGGCTCAGCGGGCTGGGCGCCCGGGCAGAGCGGCAGTGGGCCTCGGGCGGCTCTGCTGGAGGGCTCAGCAGGCCCGGGCGCCCGGGCAGAGCGGCAGTGGGCCTCGGGCGGCTCCGCTGGCGGCGAGAGCGCCTTTGCTCTGATTTTATTGTGCCCGTTTATTTGTTTTCTTTTACCAAATCTTGGTCATCTTTATGGCCTCTGAGTCCTTAGTTGTTATTAATTTTGAAATAATTAGCAAAAAGGGTCTGATTAAGCTGAACGTGAATACAAAATATTTTTGCTTGTATACACAATGAATCAGTCTGTTTCCTTTGGATGAATAATACCCATTCATCCAAAATCCATCCCCTGACACTGACCTGACTGACCAGTGTCCACAGCAGCCATTTGGAAGGACAGAACCCGGGCCGCGAGCCCTCCTGGCGCTGCAGCCTGTCCCGTCCAGGGGGGCGGAGCACGTCCTGCCCTCGCTGCTCCGATGTGGGGTCTGTGCAAAGGGAGTTTCATTCTGTACTGTTTCTGCTTGTCCTCTGTGCTGCAGCAACTGTTCCCAGATGTGGCGAGTGGAGCAGTGTCCGCGGAGCTGGCCGCCGAGGTAGCAGCCATGGACGACGTGGCCGTCGCGCTGCAGGGCCTGAGCGACCAGCTTCGGAGTCGGTGCTGACCGTCGGGCCGTTTCCGGGAGAGGTGCCCGCCCCCCGCTGGGCTCCCTCACACCTGCGTACCCGGAACACGGAGATCGATGTGTAAAATAAAGTTCTCCTTTATGGCTAGCATTCTTGTTTTTGTGATTTTTCCAAATGTTTGCATTTCCTGAAGTACTTTAGTGAAAAGTCTCCTATTTTTTTTAGCTTAGTTATAGATGAATTTAGTGTTTTATATTATTCTTGAGGTATTTCAGCAAAAAGCAAAACAAATTATAGTTTTATTTTTTTAGCATAGGGTTTATTCTCTCTCAGCCTAAAATGATTAGATCATTCTTTGGAAAAACTTGGTCTAAACAGGAAAAGAAAAACACAAAAACCCACATACTACAAGTTTGTGGAATCATTAGATTGTCTGCTCTATTGTCCAAAAGTGATACAAGAGTGGATTTGGTGATGGAAACCTTGACACTTGGTGAGATTTTGTGTCTGTGTCAGAAAGATACAGGCTTGGCTAACTTAGAAATGTGGGCATGGTTTAACTTCTAAACCAGGAAAATGCAAGAAGAGAAATAGCATAACTCAAACCTTGCCTCACCCATTAGTACTGGCAGCCAGGCCGACGCTCGTGTACACCGCCAGCCCTGGAGATGGTCGTTTAAGAAGGTTGCTGTGCCCTGGCCGGTTTGGCTCAGCGGTTAGAGCGTCGGCCTGCGGTCCTGAGAGACCCGGGTTCGGTTCCCGCTAAGGGCACGTACCTCGGTTGCAGTTTGTCCCTGGCCCTGGTTGGTCGTGCGGGTGGCAGCCACTCGATGTGTTCCTTTCACGTCGATGTTTCTCTCTCTCTCTCTGTTCCTCTCTCTCCCTCCCACTCTACCTGAACAAAAAAATGGGAAAATGTCCTCGGGTGAGGATAAAAAAAAAAAAAAGAAGGTTGCTGTGAGTGACGACAGCCATGAACAGTGCCACGTCCCACACGTGCCAGAGCAAGATGCTTTCTTAGTAATGTGCATGGAAACACACACTGAAGGCAGCAGCTGAGCTTAATCATCTTTCTAGAAAAATCCTGGTGAGGAATTCTGAGCGCTGGCTCAGGTTGTTGGATTTGGGGTTCCATGCAAGTCATTTGACCCTTGCTTTTTTCCATATATATTTTTTAAATATGCATTAATTTCTATTACTTGCATCTTTGTGAATTTCAGCTGCCTTTGGGAATTTAAAAATACATAATCCATAAATATAAGTATCCTGAACATAAAAAAAACAGTCTTTAAAGACATTCATCAATGGATTTCGGTTGTGAATGATTTCCAGTGCTTCCACTCCTTACCCACCGGCTTCTCTTTCGTAGTCTCGTACTGGCCAACAAGAAGTTCATGTATGCCCCAAACCGTTTCTCTTCCAGGAGACACGGCAACTCTGCGGAAGACCCAGAAAATGAGGGTAGCATGAGTTAACATTCAGTGCTCACTCGGATCTTTTATAGAAGCCATTCGGGAACAGGTGGGTACATGGATGGACAGATGGACGGATGGACAGAGTGAGGTTTTAAGACAAGTTATTTATCAGTACCTAGCTGTGAACCCCAGTAAAAAACAGATAAATATGAAAAAGTGCATAGAGTTCAGGAAACAAGTGGTTGAAGAAGAGCTCCTAAGTTTTAGTTTTTATTCCAGTTTATTCACGTTTGGGTTCAAGGTAGAAAGGCATCTGAGTGTGAGTTGTCACACACCAAGTCACAGAAGGATTGTCCGCTCTTAGGCCTGTTCTCAGACTCTGTGCTGGATCCGTCTCCGGGATGCTGTCGTGTACCTTTTCATCTCGAAACGATCTCACAGAGGAGAGCACTATTAGATGTCTTCTTCTTAGGACATAAATCTATTAGTTTTGTTTAATAATCTTACTTATGTGAATGTTTAACAACACTGAAGAAAATGTGTGGGGAGATGCTATGGTCAAGTAGAGAAGCTGGGGTTTTATCAAAAGCTCATCCCAACCACCGCTTAAAACTCAGACGAGGTGCTTGGTTTCTTGTTACGCGAGTGTGGTGATGCTGGTACCTGCCATCCAGTTGTGAATATCTTACAGCACTTTCGCCCAGCTTCAGAGTCAGTAACTCAGTGTCTGTTTAAACAGCTGTGTTTCACTTATGCAGGGTCTTTGGTGAGTCGTATGGCCCTTTTCTTCCTTGGGCTCGGCTTGGTTCCTCAAGGTCCTGCTCCTCCCGTCACCCCGCGCTGGCTGTAATTAACTCGCCCAGCACAACTAATGTGTCCCTTGCCAGTGATGTCAGCTCTGCCTTTTTTAAATTCTGACCTGCTATATTATGATTTAAATATTTGCTATTTCCAAATGCCTTATCTTTTATAAATTTCAACTTTGATTTTCTAGTATCAATACTCTTGTTTTTAGAATTGCTTTTTTGCTTTGTAAAAAAACATAGACATGATCCTCTCATCTTGATTGTGCTCCTAGCCTGAATAATGATGCTAATAGGCGTAAGCGACTGAGTTCTCACTGTGTACCAGGCAGCTCTGTGATATCCCAGGACCCTCAGATCACAAACTCTAGAAAGAGAAATAGCCAGAATTCGAACACCTGATGCTTTCGACGTGCTAAGCTGGGGCTCGGAAATGCTTCCAGCGGTCATCTGATGTCAGTCTTCTCCCTGGGGCACCTGGAAAGTTGCCTCTCATGGTTTGTAAGGTTCTTTAAGGAGAAGTTCTGTGAGGTCTCAGTTAAGATTACTTAAGTCTTTTTTTAAAGATTAATTCTTTGTTAGCCTTTTCCAAAGAAGTAGCCTAGTAAATGAAGTCCCTAGCTGCAAAGGAGTTAAAATAAATTCTAATTGAATAAGAGACGCCTTCTCTACTCCCAAACTCAAAACCCAGGAAGCTGAGAGCGTTGGTGTGGAGTCTGGGAAGCAGAGCCGTTGGGGGGGAGGCGGGGGTCGGTGTGGGATTCAGGACTACAGGACCCCAGAGTGAACCTGAGGTCCTCGTGGAGGCCTGGAGAGCTTGTCCTTCCCTCAAGTGGAGGCTCAGGTGGTAATGAGGACCCCAAACTTTAACAGCACTGACGACTTAACTGCGGATCGAGGCTCTTCTGTCCTTGTCTCTGTCGGGCTGTGCGCGAGCTGCTCACAGGCAGACGTGGGGCAGTGACAGCCGGGACGGGGGGGAAGTCCGCCCACTCCCCAGCCTGCGTTCGAAGGTGGTGACATAGCAGAGGTTCGGCCAGTGGGGCTGTTTGTGACCCTTTTCCTCAGTCCTGGTAAATCCATTGCGTTCAAACCCTGGGCGAGTCAGAATAAAAGGACTCTTTTTTCCATTTCTGTTTTTATAACATCCACATCGATCTAAATCACTGTTTAGATAAGGTAACTCGGCTTTACTGGCCAAGCGTGAGGAATAAAACCTGTTAAGTGAATGCAGCTTCCTCTCTGCCCCTGCGCTCAACAGGCCCGCAGTGAAGTGGCAAAGAGCCTTTATCCCAGCGCGGGCGCCACGCTGTGGCGGTGCGGATGTGCTCTTCACAACTGCAGGAGTGCTTATAAATAGATAGGTTTCAATCAACAAGTAGCTCATTCAGGCATGTGCTCAAATATAGGCGCTGCATTCATTAGACAGACATTTCCACTAATCCCAGGACCATGCTAATAAAAGAGTAATCCCTTCTGGGCTAAAGGTAGTGCTGGCTGGCTTTTTGCTCTTGTGGAGTCTTTCAGAGACCAAGGCCCACGATAATTGTAGCTGCCTTCGGTTTTCACCAAGTGGACTGTAAAGCTGAGCTTATCTTGACATTTTTTCTATCCTTCGTTTTATAAATTGCAGTGGCTCACTGGACAAAGAGCTACTTTTACTCCAGATAGAGAGCTTGCAGCAAAGCCGGCTCAGAAACCAGCTCTGTGTGCGTGTGTGCGCATCATTTTATACAAAGCGCCTCGTTCACCCTGGTTATTAATGAAGTGGTCGATAAAGAGTTTGAGCGGATTTTGTTTTTTCCTTTGGCTTTAGGATCAATAACAACTTAATGTCCATTTTGAGAAGATTTGCAAAGTCTTAGTAGAGAGGTCAGACTTTACGTGGCCCCTTTCTTCCTTGGGCTCGGCTTTGTTCCACAAGGTCCTGACTCCCCCGCCCCCATTCCGAGCTGGCTGTAATTAACTCGCCTAGCACAACTCAAATGTGTCCCTTGCCAGTGATGTCAGCTCTGCCTTCCTTTTTATTATTCTGACTTCTTATAAACTGCAGTGACCTGTGAGTCAACCACACCATCTCTTGGCCCTGAGCCAACACTGATCTATGACGGCCCCTGCCAAGGACCGTGAGGCAGAAAACTGCGTTGAGTGGTGGTCTGAGCCGCGAGTATCAGCCATTTTTTAATATTTTGGGTGGTGTTGCCAGAAAGGGGTGTCCGAGGGGTGGGGGTACGTCGTGTCAGTGTTAAGGAGCTACCCCATGCCTTGCGAGCTTTTCCCAGACGGAGGGCTCAGGGAGCATCTGTCTGAAGGTCCACAGACGTTTCCACACGGCGCTGCCCACAGGCTGCGGGTCTGGAGGAAGTCACCCCTCTGCCGCCCGTGGGCGACCCACACGCGGTTACAGCAGCGCCCGTGGGGAAGGTGCGGGCACCAGTGCTCTGAAAATGAAAAGGTTGGACGGGAGTCTGGGGAGGCGGCTTAGGAAGCCCTGGATTGAAAGCGCTGACAGCCCTTCCTGTTCCCCAACCAGGGGCCTGGCGACGGCGCTGATGCTCGGCGAGTTCGGCCTGTGGCGGCCTCTCCGTGTCTGGGCTGAGCGTGGATGGGGACGGAGTGAAGGAAAGATCGTGATGGATTTATGAATGAAGGAGAAAGAAAACCAAAGTCCTGTGGTCAGAATTCCTCGGGTCAGTTCTAGGAAAGGAAGGGCCGGTGGAGGAAAGGGCGACATGGGGATTGAGTGATCGGGATGAAGTCAGGGCCAGAGGCCTGGATTGAAGCCCCACTTCCTGGCCGTGACCACACCGGAGCCCCTGGCCTCTTGGGCCTCGATTTCCCCAACTATCAAATGCAAGTAGCCACCTACAGACCAGACAGTTGCGGCGGGGCTCACAT